CTTTCTGGGGTAATGTTGGTAGGGTAGGCAATAGGAATAAAATACCAATGAAGGTAGAGGAGATTGCTAATTATAGGATCTATCAGAGTAGCTGCCCAATGACGAGTATGAACCTTCTAGAAAAGAAAAATTAGCATATTTAAAATTGGTCAATTATTGTCCTGATCAAACTAGGAAGTTTATTTGAGTTGGAGTTAGGACACAAACTGAAAAAGTTTGTTTTAGTTACAAGGAGACATTAACTTTGCAACATCATTAATCCCATAGCTCTTTCCATTCTTTGGAGCTCCAAAGAGCTAGCTGGTTGGGCTTTTTAACAATCTTCCAATTTTATTCTTGTTTCTTTCATCTTTTCTTTTCTTTGAAACATGACAATGACCAAACAAACATAATAAGAAGTTTAGTGTGTAAAGGAGTCAATCCTATCTCTCAATGCAAATGTTCTAGCTTCAAACTATAGAGTTCCCACAAAGAAATCCCAATATAGTAGCAAAGAAAAGCAAATTATTAGGTACTATACCTTTGGTTTTTGAGTACTGCTCAATGACATCATCAACCAGGATATCAAAGCTTGGAATATATCCATGAAGACCTTCTGAAAGACCAAATCCTGGATAATCCATCTCAAAAACTCCATATCCAGAAAATACTAACTTCCTGGCAATTCCTGTAGACAATTCCATAAAACAGTTACATTCCATTTGTCTCACAATATGAATCTACTTTCTAATATATATACATATATATATAAACCATTATATTTAAATAAATTAATAGATTATCCATATTTGGACACGCATGTCCCTGAAGTGTCCCAGCAAAAAAAGAAAGTAAAATTAAAGTGACATGCCATTTGACGTGTCCAACACCACTACGACGCCTATTTTGAAGTGCCCGTGCTTCATAGCAATTAAGCAATATGAATGGGGTTAATAATAGAGATATAAGTATTTTTAGTAAGCAGGCATGGCTTGTCCTTCATCACATAGTCAGTTGTAAATTGCAGCAATTTGGATAATCATTTTAGGCCCAACACTAGGTAGCTCCATTCTGTGTTAAAAAGAAAACAAATAACATATTAAAATCAAAAGTGTTTACCTCGTTCATCTTCACCCCATCACATGGCAACTGTAATAGAATTAAAACAAAGAATCATTATTACAACTAAATATTAATAGCCTGCAAAAGTAACCACATAAAGAAAGTTGCTCAGAACTGTGAGATTTAAAATTTCATCATAATTTACATCAACCAGGGTAACAAGAGGGTAAAAAGAAAGAAACAAATAAAATAAAAGGACCAATGAAATGAATAACACTACAATGAAAAATCCCATAAGGGAAAATAAAGAGAACATGCATAGCCCAAAAAATTAACCAATTCATAGAGTAGGAAATATATGCTTAAAACAGAAAGAACAGAAGAAAGAAAAACAGTTAAGGCTCTGTTTGCTTATTCAAAAGATTGAGGGAAAATAATGGAAAACGCCCAAGTCTTTCTGTACTAACCACTGTCAATTAATTCCAGTTATTTTTGTTGTTGTTTCGAAGAGCCAATGCAGGGTATTTGCACAAACTAATAAACTTTCATGACACATTATTTAAGACGAACACAATTTGGGTGACGGGTATGAAGTTTTTGAAGTGCAAGTGTTATGTGCAATCTGTGAACTACACATCGAAGTAGCTTGATCATTACTGAAGAAAGATATCATTAGCTTAAAATTCTCCCGTCCTTTCATAACCTTTCTTCTCGACTACGATACAAGGGCACATGGAGAATAAGCTATCTACCGACTACAACTTAAAACAATCATTATGAACCTCTCTGAGTTCGATGAGGCCAATCTAATCCTTTCTTCTTTATTTTTTTTTTGTAATTCAATAATCATGATTCGAGACAATAAAATGTGGCCGCATCTGAACTTCCAACCTCGTACGTAATTTTATGGTTCTCCTTTCTCTTTTCCATTTTTGCTGAATTTTTTTAAATAAATGCCCACCCTACTTTCTACTTGCTCCACCCCAACTTGTCTAAATAAGGATTTTTTTTTAAATAAGGATTCAGAACACAGTCCCTAATCAATTCAAGACATCAAATTGCATACAATCACCAAGAAGCCTTCAATTAAAAACCCTAAATTAATTCTCATAACAGATACACAGACACATATGCATATATAAATGAAGTCATTAATAAACAATTCGATAAATGAAAAACCAAATTTCAAAACCATTCTCACCTGATGTCACTGCCACTTTCGACCAGCTGTGTCGTTGCTGCCACCAGAGAACCGCCCTTTCCCTTCCAATAAGCCATTAATTTGAGCATGTGTGTTCACCCACGAAAGAATCGCCAATTCACCATATAAGCAGAGATACAAGAATCAAACACCAATTCAACTCAATTTCATAGCAATTCAACCAAAACCCATCAAAATTCAACAACCAAATCACAAATTCATCGATTAAAACCCAAAATTAAACATACCCACCTGACGATTAAGCGAAGTAGGGTCATGGCTGGCCCAAAAAACATCAAGCAAGGACTCGTAACTACACTCCTTGGGATCATACTGAACCCTAACGACCTCCGAGTGATTCGTGGTCCCAGAACAGACATCATTGTAGCTAGGGTTGTGAAGATAGCCCTGAGTGTACCCAACCTCTCTGTCTTCGTCACTCCAGGAACACCAGATATTAGATCAAACTCAAGAACAGTGAAGTAGTGAGATCAGCTACAGAACAGTGGAGAGAGAGAGAGAGAGAGAGAGAGAGAGAGTTGTTTCGAAACTTAGGCTCTACAAACTTGAAAGGAAATGAAAAAAAAGGAGGGAAAGACGGGAAAAAAAGGAGGGGAACTTAAGGTTTTGTTTGGTTTAGATTTTCAGAATATTTTTAATATTTTGATTTTTGGAATATTTTTAATATTTAATTTTTAAAATATTTTTAATATTTTAATTTTTTAAATATTTCTAATATTTATACAGGTTTAAAAAATTAATTGACAAAAAATTAATTGACAGAAAATAATTGACATAGAAGTTGTTTAAAAAAAATGATTTGAAAAAAAAATATTCAAAAAAAATTACTTAAAACAATTAATTGAAAAAAAAAATTTTATTTGAGTATTTTAAAAATAGTTTGGTTATGACTGTTGATCAAAAATACGGATATCGAGTTATGAGTTGTGTGTTTGATTATCAATTATAGGTTGAATTAAGTTTTGAAAACTCATCACCAAACAAAATTTCTTATTTCACATGTCACATCAAACTTTCAAAACTCAATTCCACATACAATTCAAAACTCAATTCAACACTCTATTAAAAAATCATAATCAAACAAATTTTTTGTAGTACAGGAGAGAGAGCGACAGTAGTGGTGAAGGTGGTGGATAAGAAGTGGTGGTGGTGGCGAAGGAGATTAGTGATGAAGTTATGGTAGTGGTATGGGAGACGGAATAGCAGCAGTAGATGAGAGGTAATAGTAGTAGTAGTAGCAGTGGTGGTGGTGGTGGTGGTGGTAGCAGTGGTGGTAGTGGTAGTGGAGTGGTGGCGATGGTAGTAGTCATGGTAGTCATAGAGGTGAAGTGGCGACAGTAGAAGTAATGGTGGTGGTGGAATGCGTTTGCAGTAGTGGTGAAGGTGGAAACGGTGCAAACACTAATAGATTGTAATATATACGTGGACGGCTCCAGATGATACAATATTTCATGGTTCAGGATGGCACAAGATCACACCCTTTTTTGTCTTTTTTGGTCTCCAGCCTCACGTCTTCAGAATTCAAATTTCAAAATCTCTCGTCTCTCTCTTCTCTCTCCCCTTACTTCTGTCAGTCGATACCACAAAATCTCCAAACACTAGAACTAGGGTTTTAACTTACACATATTCTTCGACAGTGGCATCAAACTCCAGTTCTAAATTCATGTGCTTCCCACATCGAAAAGTCATCAACACAATCCCACAGAGAAGATTAGGATTATCTTTTCAAAGATCCCAAAGACTTCAGTCGCGGTCCCGATGTCTATAGTTCTCCCGCATCGACGAAATTTGAGGAGAAGAAAATGACCAGATCGATGTCAGAGACTGATCTCAGAGAGCTTCGGTTCTCCAAATGAAGACTACTATTGCCGGCAATTTTAGCAATGGGAGGAGAGAGAGGAGTGTTTGATTCGAGATTAGATTCGTTGGATCGAAAGTTTATTTTTGGGTCTAGGATTGAGGAGATTGTGGTTATGCGAGGAGTGTTGATTGTTGTTGAGGTTAGGGAATGGAAATCTGGGGGTAGTTTTGGTGGTGGTGGTAGATACGCGGCAGGTGGAGTGATGCGGTGGTGGTGGGATACAGGCGGGTGCGCGTGTTTGATTCAGATCTTTCTTTTTCTATTTTTGTTTTTGTTTATTTGTTTTTGTTTTTTGTTTTTTGTTTTTTTGTATGTGTTGATGTTGATAAATCATTAATTGGAGCACAATCAATTTTTCCTTTTGCTTCATCATGTTTCTTCTCTCGCGTTCGCTTCGCATCGTCTTTCAGTCGCGATTGTACGTTCATGATCACTACTTACAAAAAATAGTTAGAAGATTCACACTTTGACAAACAAAAAAAATTCTCAACTTTTATTGGAAGTGTGATTAAAAAACTAAATTGATATTTTAATCACACTTAATTTGCATTTTAGTGTGACTAGTATTATTTTTTATGTCACTTTCAATATAAGTGTGATTATACATACACTATTACTTTTTGAATCACACCTTTTTAAATCAAATGTGATTTACTTATATATATTTTTAATCACCACATTCTAATTAAAGTGTGATTAGTTTATAATTTTTTAATCACACCTTCTAATTAAGTGTGATCTATATTCATACCACTAATATTTTTTATCAACACATTTTAACATAAGTGTTGCATTATATATATTTTTTAAAACCACACATTCTAATTGAAGTGTGATCTATTTATATATTTTTTAATAACACCTTCTAATTAAAGTGTATCATTATATACACTAAATACTTTTTAATCACACTATTTAAATAAGTGTATATATATATATTATTTTTAAACCACACATTTCTAATTGAAGTGTGATTATTTATATTATTTTGTAATCACACCTTCTGATTAAAGGTGATTATATATACACTACTATTTCTTTAAATCACACTTTTTAAGTAAGTGTGATATATATATTATTTTTTAGATCACACATTTTTAATTAAAGTGTAATTATATTATATTATTTACTTTTTAATCCACAATTTTTTAAATAAGTGTATTTCTATATACTATTATTATATATAAATCACAACTCCTTAATAGGTGTGATTGATAAAATATTTACAATTGATTTTTATATTAAAATAATACAATTCCTAAATCCGCGCCTCTATTTTGAGTGTTTTATTTTAACCACCCAACACTTAGCAACCAACCCGCCACATTTGTCCACCGCCGTCTTCCGCCACCACCACACCACCACCACCTACATCTGACCCTCACCACCACCTGCCGCCATCCACTCCCACCCCACTTTGCCGACACCCACCACACTACCCTGCGCCCCATCACGCCCGCCAACCACATCACCCAGCCACCCCTCGCACCACGATACCCACCCACTCGCCCACCACCGCCACCCACCACCTTACCACTCACTGCCACTACCTATTAACACCGCCACTACCACATCCACCGCCTGCTACCACCGCCCGCCACCTACTTGCCACGCACCACATCACCCATCCACTGCCCACCACCAGCTATCCACCACGCCAGCCACTTGCCCGCAACACCAACTGTCGCCACCAATCCCACCACCCAGCCACTACCACTCCACCGCCTGCCCCACACCGCACCTATCTTGCCAACCACACTCACCACCCACCTACCACCACCAGCCACTTACCACCCACCCGCCACCACCACCACCACCACCCCACTCGTACCACCTACCACCCGCCACCCGGTCACCACCCTCACCATACAACTCGTCCACCTACCGCAAACACCTACACCACCATCGTCACCACCCACCCGACCAACACAGCGCCCATCCGCCACACCAACCCGCCCCCACCCACCACTCGCTACCACCACACCCGCTACCCTAGCCCGCCACACCAACACCCCACACACCATTCACGCCATCACTACCATCACCACCCGCCACTATCACCCACCACCCCACGTCACTATGCTTTTCACGCACGTTTTCCGCCTGCCACTTGCCATTTCGTTACTTCTTTTTTATATTTTTAAATTTTTTTAAACAGTTTTTGTTACATTTACCTATCATTTGTCACTCCGCACTCTTACGACTTATCATTACTAACCACCATCACCAGCCACTCCAAACAGACCTACCACCTTACTACTACCATTACCTCTCATCCACCCCGCTATTCTATCTCCATCTACCACAACCACAACTTCACCACTAATCTCATCACTATCACCAACCACCACCACTATCACTCTTATCCACCACACCTTCACCGACTTACTGCCGCTTCCTATCCTCTACCAACAAAAATTTAGTTTCCTGTATTTTTAGTAACAAAAAAAAAAAAAATGGGCGCAAAAAAATTATCTTTCATTGTGATGGACAAAAAATTAACTTATTTTTAATGAAAACATTTTTTATTCATTGAAAAAATAATAATAATAATAATTTAATTCATTAAAAATAAAAATGAAACAATAAATTTTCAACCTATAAAACTAAAAGAAAACGAATGAATAAAAAAACAAAAAATTTCATTAATTATAAAAAAATTCTCTTCTCTTCTCTCTTTCTCTCTCTTACTCATCACTCTTCTCTTGTCTGTCTGTCTGTCTTCTTTCTCTCTATGTCTCTCGTCCATCTCTCTTCTCTTTATCTCTCTCTGTCTTTCTCTCGTTTATATCTTTTCGCTCTTTTTCTCTATTTTCTTTGTCTATCTCTTTTCACCAATGTTTCATCTTCTTCTCTCTCTTATCTTTCTCTCTATTTACTCATCACTCTTCTCTCTTGTATGTCTGTCTATTTGTCTCTCTCCCCTCTCTCTGTGTGTGTCTCTCACTCGTCATCTCTTCCTCTCATACCTTTTCTCTCTCTGTCTCTTTCGCTCATCTCTCTTCTCTCTCTGTCTCTCTCGCTCATCTCTCTTCTCTCTGTCTCTCTCGCTCATCTCTCTTCTCTCTGTCTCTCTCGCCTCATCTCTTTTCTCTCTGTCTTTTTTTTCTGTGTCACCACCTCATATCTCTCTCTCTGTCTTCTCTCTCACTCATCACTTCTTCTCTGTCTGTCTGTCTTTGTCTCTGTCTCTATCTCTTTCTCACAGACAGTGATGGGAAAAGTCAAAGCGTCAAACTCAAGCTATCCCCTTTTTTTCACTCAATTTTCTTCATCTCTCGCTTCTCTTTCTCGCTCTTACTCATCCACTCTTCACTCTTTGTCTGTCTATCTGTCTGTATATTTGTCTCTCTCTCTTCTCCTTATGTCTCTCACTCATCTATCTCTTCTCTCATCTCTTTTCTTTCTCTGTCTTTGTCGTTCATCTCCTTATCTTTATCTCTCTCATCCATGCTCTCTTCTCTCTATCTCTATCTCATATCTCATCTTTCTCTGTCTTTCTCGCTCATCTCTCTTCTTTTTATCTTTCTCTCTGTCTCTCTTGTTCAATCTCTTTTTCTTTATGTTCCCTCTCGTTCATCTCTCTTCTCTTTATCTCTCT